GATTTCTACTTTTCGTAATAACCATTTACGTAGTGATACGAAGTTCTACATGGTTATCATGCTTCTCAATTTTTCGTGCCCGTGCAGTACAGTGTTGGTACCCGTGCAGTGCAGTGCCCAACACGTAAGATAGTAAAATGATTATTATTGTAAAAATAGGAATTCAAAACTCTATTTTATTAGTAATAATCGATTACTTTTACGTAGTTTCCTCTCTACACTGCTTATGAATCTGCTGTATTTTTTATTTTCCAAGATATTTTTTTGTGATTATACAAAGTTCCACATGGTTACACTGCTTCTCTTTTTTGGTGTATATTACTGCAGGCGTTTAATAATAACAATGCATACTTTTAAATTTTTATATGGAGTAAAAAGGCTGAACAATTTCGGGTGCAAAAATATTTTTCAATTAGGCGGGAAATAAAAAACAAAAAATCATTTGCATACATTTTATTTTACATGTTTATTAAAAAATATTTACATACATTAATAAATCAATACTTTATTTTCTTAAATCCAAATGGTACAGAGGTATGATCTTCATAGAATTTCCTTTTCATTGAAGTTATCTTGTATACCTTAGGAAACTCGACTGTTACTACTGCATGCTCTCTTGTACGTCGTAGCTGTCGAGAAAGTACAGAAACAGGATCAGATTTCTTCAGCACCATGTCTTTTATTTTCTCAAAATTGACTACTTGGGATGCCTTGTAGTTGAGTGATATGCCTTTTACTTTACATACGATCTGTTCCTCTCCAGACAAAGTAGTATATTTGTAGGCGTAGTTCTTAGGTCCTCCAGAAACAAACTCTGATATGAAACCCCCATTGAGCTCATCGGTCATATCACCTATGAAGTCGCCTGTAGATATGTCGTCTAATCCCTTACGAGAGATATAAATACATGAATCTGTATCTACGTAAACTGCCCTTTCTTCCACTTTCTCCAAGAATGAATATAATTTTAGTCTAGCTAGGGCCGTGACATATGAAGCCAATACAACGTTAACCGTTGAAGAAACGTCATAGGCCTCTTCTCTAAATTCCCAAGTTATGAGAAGGGTTTCTTCGTTTACCGGGAGAACTGTATTTACATGAATAGAAGGATTAGTCAGCATATCAAAGAATTCACCACAGTCTCTGACTATTGAGGTTTTGTTTTGGTTTTCTTTTTGAGCAAATTTACCCCAAAAGGAATTCAGCATAAGTTTAGCTAACGATCTCAAACAGGGGTTCTCTATAATTTTTGAAAATTCCAGCTTTATGTCTTCTCTATCCAAAAATGCATCAATATAACGGTTTTTTTCTTCATCCGTTAAGCAATGTTTGGGCCATCCTGAAGCTTGTTGTTTTATTTGTAGAAACTTGTTCATCATTCCGCTAAATAACCCCTCTTGGTCTTTACTGAGCTGAATTGTATCGTATTCCCATATTTCGTAAGTCTCTATTCTGGTAACCTTTTTCAATAGCTTTGAGCACCTCTTCTATCACCCAAGTTCCTTTTAGGCTTCTTTCTTGAATAGAATGCTGACACTCTTCTCGAACGAAATCTTCACCACATTTTTGACAGTTAACAAACATCAATTTGTTGTTCATTTTTGACGGTAAAACGGGGTGTATAAGTTCTGGTTCGGTAGAATCTGGCATTTAATAAGTCCTGACATCTGCGACAGAGAGGCTGTAACACATTCTTCACCTACGTAAATTTTTTTTGGATGACCCACCGGAAATTTTCCATATTTACAGATGAAGGGGTACAGGGAACATATATCGACATATTTTATGCATTCATTTGTTTTGATCTTGTAGTATTCAACGATATTTTCTGTACGTCCCCCGTAGAGAGCGTCTCTGGGGTTAATCGGTAAATTGATTATCAATGGATGTGCTTCTGTGAAGGCTCTAATTTCATCGTTTAGCATTCCTCGAAATTGACATTCCCATATCTCAATTACTTCTAGTCCAAGGCTTCGGAGTCTCTCTACTTTGCTAACTGATTGTTCGTATCGACTTTCCAATGTATTCAACGGATCATTATGCAGAGGATTGCTTCTGTTGTATTTGAAACATCGAGGGCAACCGTGAAAATAGCATCCTTGGAATTCAAACACTTGATTTGTGTCGCTACAAAAACCGTCTACTTTATGTCCCTTAACAATGGTTTCTATACCCTTAGCGGCGTGTTGAATTTTGATTCCTCTTTGATGTTCCTCCCACAACAGCCATTGGATGGCAATTTTTGACTGATTTTCACGCCATCTATAGCCCCCTTTTGGAATTACCCCGATCGTCTCAGGTTTTAAAAAATTGCGTCTAAAGACTTTGTTACAGCATGATGCAATAGTGGTGCTTTCCTGGAAGGGATCGACTGTGGTTTCGGTTTTCATCAGGTCTCGAAATTTGAGACACGCCTGTGTCAATATTTCCACATCGGAGATACAGTATTCAACGATTTCTTTCTGAAAATCAAAAACGTATCCCTCCGCTTGTCTTTCGCCATGCCATTTTAATAATTTTTCCCGAGCGTCTTCCTTTAAATGGTCGGGATCGTAGAAGTCGAGCGCTGGAATTGGCCCTACATAATTCTGATGAGCCAAAGTGTTGAATAAATGTGGAAAGTATCCTTTCTTTAGCTCTTTCAAATCAAACGCCTTGGGTAGAGCAGTTAGAGGCATAGGAAAATAATTGAGAGAATCCAGAAATTTTACATTTCCTACCTCCATCAATATTAATTTTGTTCCTCTCATAATTACATTCGGGTACAGACTAGTCTTCTCTAAAATGTAACGAAGTAGAAACTGATGATCAAATCCTCCACCATTATGCGCCAGTACAATGACTTTCTTGAATTTTTTACGAAGTGTCAGAATATGATGCATAAATGGAGAAATGACGTCTTGACATCGAAGAATCTGTAATCGAAGGCCACATTTCTTGCATATAGGATTATCGGTACATGATTCACAACATTGTTTGAATACACATAGATTTGGCTCATGTAAAGATCCATTGGGTAATTCCTTCTCCTGACGGGTTTCCAAATCGTAAAATATTAATAAGACATCATTTGATTTAGGAATACTTCTGTCAGGCTGTATATAGCACATATGTTCAATTGGTTGATTTTTATAACATGTTTTACAAAGTATATATCCGCAGATGTGATCATTACCGTTGTGAACTTTAAAACAGTCTACACATCTTTTAATTTTAGAACAGACCGATGGTAAATGAGCGTTAAAACATTCTTGTCCATAAAAGCTTCTATTACATTCTTTGCATTTGATGTGCTTCGTTTTCAGGCAGGCCGGAGATCTTTTACAAGCATAACATTGTTTATCACATCTATGAATTTGTTTAGTTATACGGAATGTGGCAGTTCTCACAAAAAAGCTGCAGCAAAAGGCAGCAGTGAGGGATGTTATGACGCTGTAGTGCCCCTCGTGATATATTAGGTTAAGCGTCGGACCAGCGGACACGCCTTCAAAAATGACGTCACGACCTTTGCACCCAAACTTGTATACAACAATTTTGTAGTTTTGCAGATATCGTTGTAGCTTTTGAAGTTCAGGTATTCCACACCCCTCCTCAGGGATAACAATATCAGCCTTTTCCACAAGTTGTACAGCTCTTTGTCCTTGTATTTTTCCTCGATCACGGCGGATTCTGCTATAATCTTTGTCTTTGTTCAAATGGGCCATGGCGATGACAAGGGCTCGTGGGAGACACAAATTATCGGTGTTTTTAACGGTGATAATGCCTTTTCTTTTGGCGCATTCCTCATCAAAGGTATTGAAATTCTGAGCTCTACCACGACCAGCAGGCAACCTTACGGACGTAATACCCAAGCAAAAAGTCTCGGTATTCAACCCCACAGAATTTGACTGATAGATGGAAGATATCTTCTCCCATATGTCCTCAGTTGAAACGTCGGAAAACAATTTAAAAGCTATCCATCCTTGACCGCGGGTAAAGTCTTTGGAACAGAAAGTGAATCCAACTTGATCACTGGGCTGGAGATGTTCAGTTCCTTTGGCTACTATTTCCTCCAGAGCGTCTTTGATCCATCCCACAGGTTCGACGTCTTTAGGGATAGGTCGTATTTTAAATTCCACTTCTCGCCCATATAGATTAAATTTTTTAATCTTCTTAGTAGAATCCTTAACGATGAAGAATTTTTCCATTTTTTAAAAACTAAAACGTTAACTAGCGACTAAATCTGAACTGAGCACGTCTGTTCGCTGCAGATAACTGACAAGATAATTTGCGGTGATTCATAGGTATTTATAATCTCGATTTTACCCCCACCACTTTTTAACTGACCACAGTGTTTCAAGGTCACCGCTGTTATCGTTGGTCAGTATTAACTCGTTGACAGCCTGCGCTTCCTGCCCATTCACCCATGCTTAACAGCCCCGCCCGGTACTTCTTGCATATCACCGCTACGACAACACCTGCCCTGAACCTAACCTCATTTGCGACGTAGGTGATTGCCTTGTTGAATTTATTAGATACACAATATAGACTGTACTATGTTTTCAATATTGTATCAATGTTAAAAATTAACTAACATTAACTGTATGCACCACATATATGAGCAATTCCATTTTTATATGCACACTGAATATGACGTGTTGATTATTGAGATCATCCTATACGCATTGTTTCCCGCGAATTTTATACGTTTTTCCATTTAAACTGAATCAGCAGAATTGCATCTATAAATATCATTATTCATGGGCTTTTATCGATCTATATGCAAATATTTACCGCAAAACATGAAATGAGTCACATCGCTTACGCATAGACGTTATACTACACCTTACTATCGTCGGCTGTCTGAATCACTTCCGGTCGGGTGCGCCATCTAACGGGGCCCGCCAATCACATATAACACATCAACCCGTTCAAACTTCCCGCCGTCTGATCCACCAATCAGAGCACGCGGTGGATCTAGCGGTTCCCGCCAATCAACATATACCATCAACCCCGTTCAAATTTCCCGCCGTTTGATCCGCCAATCAGAGCACGCGGTGGATGTGGTGGGCGTGGCCAAAAAGTGGAAGTGGTGGGGGGCGCCCAGAGTGCACCAGTATCTACTAACCTGAATGCGTAACTAGCCAAAAGCAAAAAGAGCTGAATGATCTTTTTCTAAGCACCTTAAGCTTCTACCGATTTAGTGACCCCACAAAAAGGCCTAGGCTCCCAAAGCTTCTACTAAATGCAAATCCAATCAAATAATACATCAGAGATTTTTTACGCCACCTAGAACACTGTGATGACTTAGAAGAAGTACATCTATCTATCTATGCGGCAGCTGCTACTGTGGTGAACGTGAATGGTCAAAAGTTACTACCACCTAATGACGCGCCTCTTAAAAAGACATCGAAACGTAGTGAGGAGCCATGGAAACTAAGACTCATGAAAGATATTGACTCATGTAGAGCTGAGGCGGATCTCATTTCAGAATACCAAGGAGGCAATAGGTCCCGAAAGGTGATCAAGAAAATTGCAGATATTAAACGGAAAATTAACGTACCCCCCAGCTGCGATATCGATAGCTCATTTTTAAACCTGCATAGAGATAAAATGAGGCAAGAAGCCAAAATGAAAGGTGCCCGGCTCCAAAGATATAATGAGACCAGCAAGAAAGCAGCAAAATGCTTGTTCGAGAGAAACCAAAACCAGTTCTACAGATCTATCATCCCAGAATCATCTTCGGAACCCAAAGGCATTAGAGATACGCAAAATTTTGTTAAATTTTGGTGATATTTGGTCCGAACCAAAGCCATCAGACCTTAATGCGCCTTGGATCAAAGAGGTAGTGAAGGCAGCTAAGGTAAACCCAATGAGCGTTGCAATATTCTCTCAAGATGACGTAAGTAGAGTGCTAAAAAATGCTGCTGATTGGAAAGCGCCGGGACCCGACAATATTCAGAACTTTTGGCTCAAGAAGTTCCTAAGCACACATGCTGCATTGGGTCGATCACTTTCTAAAGCAATCACCAACCCGGAGATATTACCTAACTTCTTGACGAAAGGAATAACACATATTATATTTAAAAACGGCAATCCTGAAGATCCGAAAAACTCTAGACCAATTACATGTCTCTCTGTGTTTTATAAACTACTAACAGCACTTTTGAATGACCAAATATATACTCACTGTGAAAGCAACAATATCATTGCTACAGAACAGAAGGGG